ATTCAAACTTCTTAAATACATATTTAATACTTGATTTTTCATTATTTTGATTTTTCAGTTGTCTGCTTTCAAATTTAAAAATTTCATTGATTTGACAAAGATATGGATGCTCCGCTATATATTATATATGGTAATTTTAAAAATTTAGGGATATTTTGGTTAAATTAACAAATATTTTTAGCATTGAAACTTTCCACAATCCAAGAAAATTTGTATGAAACCCAAAATTAGCTACTACTAAATTAGTAGTACCACTTAACTTCAAAGAAAACACAATCCGAAATCGCGTCAGTCCTATTTAGTATAAATTCTGATTTTATTGTACAGAACATTCACACTTTCCTCTTTAAGTGCATTATATTTACTATATGTACATTATATTTCTACATTTAGTTGATAACATTCCGTACAATACGCCATATGGAGATATTTATAAATTGTGTGCTACTTATGGTGTTATAGAAGACTTGCAGTATTTTTGTCTTTATTTTCAAATAAGGCTTATTATTTAAGCATTAAATTTGACCGCAATACAATTCGTCCAGGGCGTTGCTTGTGTGAATTTCAAGCTATGCGGGAGGCAGAAAATGCTATTTCCGGCATTAATGGAGTTGAGATGAAAGGACATAAACTTTGTGCTGGCTGGGCTAAATATTAGAGATTAAATTTCATATTTTTTACACCTATTTTGTGTTTTATCAATATTAAATAAAAACAAGGAAAATAATTAGCCAAGATTTGGGACTTTGGAGACAATACTTGGTCGTTCTGTTTTAAAATTTTATATAGGGAGAATATCGATTTGGCTCTAACAACTCAAGATGTAATTACTGGCGTTGATCAACAAGTTGTTGTTCGTTATGGTCTTTCATCGTTTCTTCCTTCTCATGCATTTTTATCATTTTCTCTTGAAGTGACTGCTTTGGCAACGAATGGAATTTATTTAATTGCAGGTTCAGGGTTTGTTTTAATTTTTTAGAGATTATTTTAAATTGAGATTTAAGTGATTTTATGGTTAAATCTGTTCGATTGGATACTACCTCAGGCCAGTCATCCATTGAACGTTATGAGTTTGAAGGTATTTATTTAAATCGTTTGAAATAAAATATTAAAATTTATAGCTGCAATTTTAAACATTTCAATAAGTCCAAGTGGAGAGTATTTCACAATTTCGACATCTGACGGGAATGTCCATATTCGTTCAATTCAAAAAAATCAACAAACTTCCAAGAAACCGATTGCCAAGTTTAAGGCCTGTAATGAATTCTCTATAGCAAAGTAGGCTATTTTTTATTATTTTAATTCAATTTTTGTTGCTCGATTGTGATTTAGCAATCACCAAATATTTTTTAAGTTTAATTTATAAGGGTATTTTTCAAACTAAAATTGTTTTAATATTTTTCCTTGTTAATTTTAGAATTCAATGTCCTCGAATTCAATGTGTATGGGATCCTCAATGCAGCTAGCGAAAGAAAACTTTTCAATACTAACGACCTGGCAAATATGCTTACACAAAAAGATCCGTGTACAACAATAAAAGGAATGCGAGTACCTAAACCATTCTCTATCGGATCAACTCCTGCTTCTGATGATGGCGGAAGATTTTTGGTTAGTTATTGATTGTCAAATAATGTTTTATTTATATGTGGATATTTAAAAGATAGATTTAACCTTTTTCAGAAAAATACTTTAGCCATTTTAAATTAAAAAAATTTTTTCAGGCCTGGAATACTTTTGGAATAATCAAGTCTAAATGACAGCAACGACGAAAGTTCAATTGAAATAAACTTTCATGACTCAAGTGTTCATCATGAAATTATTATGGACAATTCAAAATCAAAGTATGTATTTGGCGGCATTGGGGCTGATATAATTGCCTTGGCTTCAAAGAAAAATTCAAATGGGGAGAGTGGGGAGAGGGTTGATAGCAAATGGGAGAGGGTTGATATCAACAGCCGACTTAGGCTCGAACTCATTTGTGCATTATTTGCTGCTGCTTGTCAAAAGTGGTGTAATGTAAAGTATTTAAATTTCTCAAAGGAAACATGTAATTGGCTTGATATGGAATCGGGGGACGTTGAATTAAAAATGGTTATTATCTATACGATTTTAATTATTTGCTATCTTTTATAGATAAAGGCGTTTAATGTTATAATTCTTCGTTGTGCAGCGTATTTGAAAAGTCTCCGTATTTGTTATGGAGTTCCAAGCTCGGTTTTTGTTGGACATTTTCACTTATTGTCTTCTCTTACACACTTTTCTTTGGAGGAACCGATTGATGTTTTGAATTTAAATCAGATTAAGGAGTATTTAGCTCCTAATCTTTTATCGTTGGGCTTAGTTCTACAACCGGTTCGATTTTTTATTAAAAACATTTAATTTTCTTTGCCAATTAAATTCGGGTGGGTTAATCTAGTTAATTCGAATACTTACATAAATATTTATTTTTAAGCAGGAAAAATCTGTTGATGCATTTTTATCTCTGGTTAAAAATTGCAAAAAACTCAAGTGCCTTCGTGTTAATAGAATAAATCTAATTTTTGAGAGAGCTAAAGAAATTGGCCAACGACAATTCTTGCCTCCAACCTTAATGCAGTTATTTATGCATGATTATTCAGACAGTGCTTTAAATCATGTCATTGAAACGTGTCCTAGACTTTGTTTTGTATTATTAAATAATCCTGATGTTACTAAAATGCATCGGTATATTTTTAATCAATAGTTCTAGCATATCCTTTCTTTAGCAAAGCCCTTAAATTTTCAGCTTTATAACATATTCAGAATCCGTCTTTATTGATATCTCACTTACAATTAGTCTTAAAGTTTTCTTAAGTCATGTGAATGCCCTATCAAATTAACCTACCTTTTTTGGTATTTATTAGTGCATATCAAAAACTTTTTCAATAAAAGTTTTCTTTTAAGTTGGATATATTCTTATAATAATAAAAATTTAATTTTAAGCTTTTACTCTCCATTTTTTATTACAACTGATCGGGAATCCATATATTCTCATCCATCTTTGAAGTTTCTACGAGCATTGCAGATTAAAAGAAATGATCTTAACAAGGCATTAATTTATATTTTTTTATTTAAAATTTCTTTAGACTGATTTATCAATAATTGCTTATAATTGTTTGGAATTAATACATTTGGATTTTGAGTGGTCAAACAGCGGAACTGGGATTGAAGATGATTTATTACAGCTTTATAGTTTCAAAAAGCTTTCTGCCTTTTTTCATTTTGATGTTATTTTTATTATAAGATTTAATTTTTTTTAATTCAGTTAAGACGTTTTGGATTACGAGATGATGTCATTTTTGTTTGGAAAAATAATGCTTATAAAATAAATAGAGTTCCGCGTTCTCGGGATTATTGCAATTATTTCCAATCAAAAATTCTAAAAAAAATGTTGAATGCCTCTTATGGACTTAATTCGTTTGTATCTTCTTTTAAACTTCCTAATTTTTTCTTTTTATAGGCAAATACTTTTTGGCAATTATTACATTTAATTATAAAGAAAAAATTTTGACTGATGTTTTATGATTTAATTTATTTTTTTTTAATTTTGAGGATCTCTACATATTAAATAAATTCGGGTATGGCCCACTTAGTCACCGGCCACCTGCTGTTGGAACAACCTTTCCATTGTTGTAACATTATCCCCAGTTTATGTCATATATTTGTAGTAGTCAAGTTGCAAGTTCGGAATTCGGATCCGGGTCCGGCAAAATCGATTTTGCTGGGCACCACTTTTTAGTTACTTCGCGACTAAGTGGGCTGGCGACTAAGTGGCCCGCGACTAAGTGCCGTGTCCCAATAAATTCTATTAAATAAAATTTTTTGAATTTCGACTTAAACAAATGTTTCAATGCATAAGATATTCAAACTTCTTAAATACATATTTAATACTTGATTTTTCATTATTTTGATTTTTCAGTTGTCTGCTTTCAAATTTAAAAATTTCATTGATTTGACAAAGATATGGATGCTCCGCTATATATTATATATGGTAATTTTAAAAATTTAGGGATATTTTGGTTAAATTAACAAATATTTTTAGCATTGAAACTTTCCACAATCCAAGAAAATTTGTATGAAACCCAAAATTAGCTACTACTAAATTAGTAGTACCACTTAACTTCAAAGAAAACACAATCCGAAATCGCGTCAGTCCTATTTAGTATAAATTCTGATTTTATTGTACAGAACATTCACACTTTCCTCTTTAAGTGCATTATATTTACTATATGTACATTATATTTCTACATTTAGTTGATAACATTCCGTACAATACGCCATATGGAGATATTTATAAATTGTGTGCTACTTATGGTGTTATAGAAGACTTGCAGTATTTTTGTCTTTATTTTCAAATAAGGCTTATTATTTAAGCATTAAATTTGACCGCAATACAATTCGTCCAGGGCGTTGCTTGTGTGAATTTCAAGCTATGCGGGAGGCAGAAAATGCTATTTCCGGCATTAATGGAGTTGAGATGAAAGGACATAAACTTTGTGCTGGCTGGGCTAAATATTAGAGATTAAATTTCATATTTTTTACACCTATTTTGTGTTTTATCAATATTAAATAAAAACAAGGAAAATAATTAGCCAAGATTTGGGACTTTGGAGACAATACTTGGTCGTTCTGTTTTAAAATTTTATATAGGGAGAATATCGATTTGGCTCTAACAACTCAAGATGTAATTACTGGCGTTGATCAACAAGTTGTTGTTCGTTATGGTCTTTCATCGTTTCTTCCTTCTCATGCATTTTTATCATTTTCTCTTGAAGTGACTGCTTTGGCAACGAATGGAATTTATTTAATTGCAGGTTCAGGGTTTGTTTTAATTTTTTAGAGATTATTTTAAATTGAGATTTAAGTGATTTTATGGTTAAATCTGTTCGATTGGATACTACCTCAGGCCAGTCATCCATTGAACGTTATGAGTTTGAAGGTATTTATTTAAATCGTTTGAAATAAAATATTAAAATTTATAGCTGCAATTTTAAACATTTCAATAAGTCCAAGTGGAGAGTATTTCACAATTTCGACATCTGACGGGAATGTCCATATTCGTTCAATTCAAAAAAATCAACAAACTTCCAAGAAACCGATTGCCAAGTTTAAGGCCTGTAATGAATTCTCTATAGCAAAGTAGGCTATTTTTTATTATTTTAATTCAATTTTTGTTGCTCGATTGTGATTTAGCAATCACCAAATATTTTTTAAGTTTAATTTATAAGGGTATTTTTCAAACTAAAATTGTTTTAATATTTTTCCTTGTTAATTTTAGAATTCAATGTCCTCGAATTCAATGTGTATGGGATCCTCAATGCAGCTAGCGAAAGAAAACTTTTCAATACTAACGACCTGGCAAATATGCTTACACAAAAAGATCCGTGTACAACAATAAAAGGAATGCGAGTACCTAAACCATTCTCTATCGGATCAACTCCTGCTTCTGATGATGGCGGAAGATTTTTGGTTAGTTATTGATTGTCAAATAATGTTTTATTTATATGTGGATATTTAAAAGATAGATTTAACCTTTTTCAGAAAAATACTTTAGCCATTTTAAATTAAAAAAATTTTTTCAGGCCTGGAATACTTTTGGAATAATCAAGTCTAAATGACAGCAACGACGAAAGTTCAATTGAAATAAACTTTCATGACTCAAGTGTTCATCATGAAATTATTATGGACAATTCAAAATCAAAGTATGTATTTGGCGGCATTGGGGCTGATATAATTGCCTTGGCTTCAAAGAAAAATTCAAATGGGGAGAGTGGGGAGAGGGTTGATAGCAAATGGGAGAGGGTTGATATCAACAGCCGACTTAGGCTCGAACTCATTTGTGCATTATTTGCTGCTGCTTGTCAAAAGTGGTGTAATGTAAAGTATTTAAATTTCTCAAAGGAAACATGTAATTGGCTTGATATGGAATCGGGGGACGTTGAATTAAAAATGGTTATTATCTATACGATTTTAATTATTTGCTATCTTTTATAGATAAAGGCGTTTAATGTTATAATTCTTCGTTGTGCAGCGTATTTGAAAAGTCTCCGTATTTGTTATGGAGTTCCAAGCTCGGTTTTTGTTGGACATTTTCACTTATTGTCTTCTCTTACACACTTTTCTTTGGAGGAACCGATTGATGTTTTGAATTTAAATCAGATTAAGGAGTATTTAGCTCCTAATCTTTTATCGTTGGGCTTAGTTCTACAACCGGTTCGATTTTTTATTAAAAACATTTAATTTTCTTTGCCAATTAAATTCGGGTGGGTTAATCTAGTTAATTCGAATACTTACATAAATATTTATTTTTAAGCAGGAAAAATCTGTTGATGCATTTTTATCTCTGGTTAAAAATTGCAAAAAACTCAAGTGCCTTCGTGTTAATAGAATAAATCTAATTTTTGAGAGAGCTAAAGAAATTGGCCAACGACAATTCTTGCCTCCAACCTTAATGCAGTTATTTATGCATGATTATTCAGACAGTGCTTTAAATCATGTCATTGAAACGTGTCCTAGACTTTGTTTTGTATTATTAAATAATCCTGATGTTACTAAAATGCATCGGTATATTTTTAATCAATAGTTCTAGCATATCCTTTCTTTAGCAAAGCCCTTAAATTTTCAGCTTTATAACATATTCAGAATCCGTCTTTATTGATATCTCACTTACAATTAGTCTTAAAGTTTTCTTAAGTCATGTGAATGCCCTATCAAATTAACCTACCTTTTTTGGTATTTATTAGTGCATATCAAAAACTTTTTCAATAAAAGTTTTCTTTTAAGTTGGATATATTCTTATAATAATAAAAATTTAATTTTAAGCTTTTACTCTCCATTTTTTATTACAACTGATCGGGAATCCATATATTCTCATCCATCCTTGAAGTTTCTACGAGCATTGCAGATTAAAAGAACTGATCTTAACAAGGCATTGATTTATATTTTTTTATTTAAAATTTCTTTAGACTGATTTATCAGTAATTGCCTATAATTGTGAGGAATTAACACATTTGGATTTTGAGTGGTCAAACAGTAGAACTGGGATCGAATATGATTTATTAGAGCTTTATAGTTTCAAAAAGCTTTCTTCTCTTTCTTTACAAATTGTTTGGTACTTGTGGGTTATCCCTACGGACTTTTGCGGACTTTTTTTGCGGACACAATTGTACATAATGGTAAGAGTTTCTCTTCCCTCGTTAAGGATTAAATTTAATGTATACAATTATGTCAGAAAATATAAGCGTTTATGTGAAAAAGAAAATATATAAAACAAAAATCATTCCAATGCCCAATATTTCCCCCAAGCAAGCATGATTTCCTCAAAAACGTCTTTTTTCCCAACCATTTTTCTCCACATAAACTCTGCAAAATAACTCTCCAAAAAATAACTCTCCAATTGTCCAGCTTTTTTGGACAAAACTGGATGTTATTTGTAATACAATTTCATTTTAGCCCATTTCGGTACACTCTTGTTTTATGTAGAAGACTAAGATTCTGTAAAAATTCAATGGCATCGTTTTCAGTTGCCGGCAAATCACAAATTTTCATTATAAAAAGATCACTAGCTAAAGAGATTAGAAAAGAAAAAAAGTTAGAATGTGAAGTTTGCATAATTTGCTTATTTTTAATATATTACATTTAATCTTGTTTGATTGGTTGACAAGTGTTGTGCCCGCACTTGCAGAAAGAATATAAATGAAAATAAATAACCTATCATCGGGTTGGATGGTGGCACAGTCGGTTGTGCTTCGGTTTGGGCCCTTTCCGTGATGGTTCAATTCCATCACCCATCCAATGAATTTTTCCACAGCATGAACATGAATACAATAACAAGTGCATAGGAGAAAAGGAGGGAGAAACTCTTACCATTATGTACAATTGTGTCCGCAAAAAAAGTCCGCAAAAGTCCGTAGGGATGACCCACAAGTACCAATTTTTTAATTTTGAGGATCTCCTAAATATATAAATTTTATTAAATAAAAATTTTTTTAACTTAGACTTAAACTTATGTTTTAATACATAAATTACTTAAACTGCTTAAATAAGTATTTTCTAATTTAGATTTTTGATTTTTCAGCTTTCAAATTTTAAACAAATTTTGGAGACGAAAATATGAATGCACCGCTATTTATTATCTATGGTAAATTTAAAAATTTGGGGAGATTTTGTTTAATTTAATGGCTATTAAAAGATCTTTAGTGATGTTGCCAAGTTTGGAGCACTATTTATATGTGTCAGTATCCAGATATATCCGTGGTATCGGAAATTATCCGTATCCATAAACAAGTCCAATCGTGTCAATCTCCTATTTAGTATAAATTCGGGCTTTTACATCCATATTTATAGTTAATATTTCTACATTTAGTTGATAACATTCCGTACAATACACCATATGGAGATATTCATAAATTGTGTGCTACTTATGGTGTTTTAAAATCCTTGCGGTATTTTTGTCTTTGTTTCCAAATAAAGCTTATTATTTAAGCATTAAATTTGACCGCAATTCAATTCGTCCAGGACGTGGTTGGTGCGAATTTCAGGCTAAGCAGGAGGCAGAAAATGCTATTTCCGGCATTAATGGAGTTGAGATGAAAGGACATAAACTTTGTGCTGGCTGGGCTAAATATTAGAGATTAAATTTCATATTTTTCACACCTATGTATTTTGTGTTTTATCAATATTAAATAAAGACAAGGAAAATAAATTAGCTAAGATTTGGAACTTTGGAGACAATACTTGGTAATATTTCGTACCAGCCATCTTTTTTCTGACATTTTTTTATTTTTACTTCCTTTTCTCCCTTATTTTTCATGAGGCAAGTACCCAATCTTAAACCATCTTGCTGTTATTACTTGTTAAAAACAGATTCATGCAAATGGTCGACTTTCTCTTGCTGTAGATCAAACTGATCAAAAAAATGTATAAACTAGAAATAATCATTAATTTTTTAAAATAATTTTTTCAGATTTATTGTTGCAGCTCTGATGATACATTTGGTTTGTGGACGTGTAATGAACGAGGTTCACTCGATGTTGATATAAGAAATACAGCTGATAGATGTCACGGCGCCTTGGCTGTTTTTGTATTTTTTTTTAATTCATAAGGTTTTTAGCCGTTTTTCTCAACAAATCTCCTTGTTCGAGTTTTCTAAGTTTCTCTAATTCCTTTAAATCTATTTTTTATTTTCTATTAAATTTTATATAGGGAGAGGATGTTTATTTGGCTCAAACAACTCAAGATGTAATTACTGGCGTTGATCAACAAGTTGTTGTTCGTTATGGTCTTTCATCGTTTCTTCCTTCTCATGCATTTTTAACATTTTCTCTTGAAGTGACTGCTTTGGCAACGAATGGAATTTATTTGATTGCAGGTTCAGGGTTTGTTTTAATTTTTTAGAGATTATTTTAAATTGAAATTTAAGTGATTTTATGGTTAAATCTGTCCGATTGGATACCACCTCAGGCCAGTCATCTATTGAACGTTATGAATTTGAAGGTATTTTTTAAATCGTTTGAAATAAAATACTAAAATTTAAAGCTGCAATTCTAAACATATCAATAAGTCCTAGTGGAGAGTATTTTGCTGTTTCGACATCCGATGGGAACGTTCATATTCGTCCAATTCAGAAAAATCAACAAACTTCCAGGTACTTTTCCGTTATGACGTAACCCCCTAAATTAATGTTCAAAATGTCATATATAGGTTAGAAAAAGGTGCTGAATCGAACGGTCACTCTTTTTTCATGGAGATGTCTGTGGACCGAGATATAGGGCTCGAAATGGTCAAAAACCATAGGAGGGAGTAAGCTAAATTTTGGGGTGAAAAATTGCATTTTTTGAATGATAGCTCATTTGAAAGAGCTCCTCGAGCTGAGTCAGAAGACACCAAAATCAGCTCGAAATCTTGATTTTGAGACGAGATTAACAAGCTCAAAATGGTCAACGTAAACCTATGTGGCGCAGGCGAGGCGCACTCCCCCATATGGTTTTTGACCATTTCGAGCCTTATATCTCGGTCCACAGGCATCTTCGTGAAAAAAGAGTGGTACAGTTCGACTCAGCACCTTTTTCTACCCTATATATGACATTTTGAACATTAATTTAGGGGGTTACGTCATAACGGAAAAGTACCAACTTCCACTTCCAAGAAACCGATTGCCAAGTTTAAGGCCTGTAATGAATTCTATTGCAAAGTAGGCTCCTATGGGCTATATGACTCCTATGGGCTAAATGCGTTTGTAGCTTCTTTTAAACCTCCTAATTTTTTACTTTTAGGCAAATACTTTTTGGAAATTATAAATAAAGAAAAAATCTTGACTGATGTTTTGTGATTTAATTTATTAAATTTTTTTAATTTTGAGGATCTCTTATATATAAATTTTATTAAATAGAGATTTGTTTAACTTCGAACTTAAACGAATGTTTTAATACATAAATTACTTAAACTGCTTAAATAAGTATTTTCTAATTTAGATTTGATTTTTCAGCTTTCAAATTTTAAATAAATTTCGGAGACGAAAATACAGTCGTGGAAAAAAGTATGGAAGCGCTAGAAAATTTTTTCTTAATTCTTAATTTTTCATTCAAAAAATACGTTCTATATACCAAACGAAAGCTCTATTCGTATCTCAGTTGACATGTTTCTGCATTTTTCATGAAAATGAAAATTGGCCGAGATAATCCGGATCTACCGGATATACCAAATCCCACTTTTTCGGAAAAATTTTTCGGAACAAATTTAACAAACCCAAATGATAAAGCATATTTTTCTGAGTATTTTCCACAAAGCCGCTAAGAAATATCTTTTTCCTGAGCAGAGATATGATTTTTTGAAAATGGCATTTTTCGCTTAAAAATTGAATTTTTTTTCAAAAATAGACGAAAAATGCCATTTTCAAAAAATCATATCTCTGCTCCGGAAAAAGATATTTCTTAGCGGCTTTGTGAAAAATACTCAGAAAAATATGCTTTATCATTTGGGTTTGTTAAATTTGTTCCGAAAAATTTTTCCGAAAAAGTGGGATTTGGTATATCCGGTAGATCCGGATTATCTCGGCCAATTTTCATTTTCATGAAAAATGCAGAAACATGTCAACTGAGATACGAATAGAGCTTTCGTTTGGTATATAGAAATTATTTTTTGAATGAAAAATTAAGAATTAAGAAAAAATTTTCTAGCGCTTCCATACTTTTTTCCACGACTGTATGAATGCACCGCTATTTATTATCTATGGTAAATTTAAAAATTTGGGGAGATTTGGTTACATTTAACGTGTATTAACAATTTTTTAGTGTTAGGGTAAATTCGGTTCTTTTCCGTTCTTCGCCCCCCTGTCCCTTTAATGTTATATATAAAGCGTGCTGATCACGAATCTAGAGAAAGATTTTTAACACCATGCTTAATTTTTGAAGTACAGACCCAAAAACCGAAAAATCAATATTCAAATTGCCAAACTATAACATTAATCAAGGCTGAGGTGGCAGAACGGATTTTTATATTTAATCGTAACTTCAACGAGAAAATGCAGTCCTATTTATAAATAGGACTGTATATACCTAGTATAAGTTCGGTCTTTTATTATACAACTATTCATAATAGTTTATAGTAGTTTATTTTTCTACATTTAGTTGATAACATTCCGCACAATACACCATATGGAGATATTTATAAATTGTGTGCTACTTATGGTGTTATAAAAGACTTGCAGTATTTTTGTTTTATTATCAAAAAACTTTATAATTTAAGTATTAAATTTGACCGCAATTCAATTCGTCCAGGACGTGGTTGGTGCGAATTTCAGGCTAAGCAGGAGGCAGAAAATGCTATTTCCGGCATTAATGGAGTTGAGATGAAAGGACATAAACTTTGTGCTGGCTGGGCTAAATGTTAGAGATTAAATTCATTATTTCCACAACTATTTTGTGTTTTTTTGTTAATAAAAAGGTGGAAAGTAATAAAAAATAAAATATTTTTAAAATATAATTTATCATTTATTGACTTATACCTAATTTTTATTTCACAATATTAAATTCTTGGTAATGGTGCAGAATTGGGGAGACACCTCAGAAACACATTAAAAGGTATTATTTCTTTCTGGAAATAATTCTAATAATTCTATATCGACCATGCTGATCACGAATCTGAGCTTAGAATTTGCTTATTTCGAATCCCGGACCCGAATTCGACCAAGTCGGATTCGGGGTAAAAATTCGAAATTAAAAATTTAGGGCTAATCTGGTATATCTATTCGAGTCGAGTCGAAAGGTATCAAAATTAATCAGTTCCGACAACTTTAAACTGAGTTATGATGCCTGATTTGTATATGGAAATCTATATCTTTTTTTCCAACCGTGTATTTCATTGATTACAACTTCGTCTAAAATGGTCGAAACTGATTAATTTTGATACCATTCGACTCAACTCGACGAGCTCTTTCGAATGAGCTATCATTTGCATATTCGAAATTCGGTTTGGGAATTTTTACCCCGAATTCGACTTAGTCGAAATCGAGTCCGCGATTCGGAATAACCGAATTCTAAGCTCAGATTCGTGATCAGCATGGTCGATTACCTTTATAAAATTATTTTCAGAAAAAAATAATAATTTTTAAGGTGTTTTTGAGGTGTCTCCCCAATTCTGCACCATTACCAAATTCTTCGACTATAGCCTTAACAAACCAATTATTCTATTTACAAAATAAATATTAAAATGCAATTTCAATATTTGCCTCCAGAAATTTTGGTTTAATTTTTTTTAAGTTTTATTAAAAAATAAACTGAATATTTATTTTTTCAGAAATATATTTTTGATTTTTTTACTTTTAATGAAAAAATAAAAATTGAACGTGTATGTAAAGAATGGAAAGATTTGTGTTGGAATTTTGCTTGGTTGGATTGTAAAGATTTAATTTTTGTTTACGAGGATTTACTTTTATTTAAAAATTTTAAAAATACAAGAGAATTAATAAAGGAATCAATGGAAGGATTAAGTTTTAAAGAAATAAAATGTAAATATGTTGTTTATACACCACATGATTTGTTGGATCAACATAAAAAATTTCTTTGTAATAATTCATTGGACAAGAGGCGGCCTTCAAGAACTGTTGGTTTTTAATAGAGTTGGGCGGGATCGGGATCCCGACGTAAATTCGGGATCGGGATTTTGGAATGATGATCCCGATCCCGACTGCGGGATCGGGATTGGACGAAATCGGGATCGGGATTCGGAATAATGATCCCGGTCCCGACTCGGGATCGGGATTGAAAAATCGGGATCGGGATTTAGTTAAAAAAAATTTAAATTTTTATTTACATTGCATATACCTCAATATAATTCCATAATTTTCATCTGCTGTGCTGAAATATTGACTTTAAGTCCCAGCGCGCATTTGTTCTTGGCGTATCAGGGATTAAGGAAGAGGGATAAAGTATTAACGATAAGGTGATTTTGATGGATTAAGAGGGCACTCCCCTAATCCATCAACTTCACTCGATATCCCACCAAATAACTGATATTTAAAAATTTTCAACGATATCCCTGCTAATGCCTTAATTTGGTAATTAAAAGTGATTCCACTAAATCCTCATTCTATCACCTTAATCCACTTAATACTATGATATCCTGCTAACTTCTTGATATCCGTGAAATCCGGTTCACTGATATCTTTCTTAATCCGTTGATAGTTTTATAAATGAGTTTCTTCTTATTCACCGCCGGAGGCAAAAATTTTGAAAAATTTCGAAGATTCTCAAGCCAAAATTTACATTTTTAGCGCCGCAGGCGAAAATTTTGAAAATTTTGGATAGTGTAGAAGCCAAATTGCTTTTTTCAGCTCATTAATATATATTTTCATTAATTTATAAAATCCCGATTTCATCGGGATCCGATTGCTAATCCCGATCCCGGCTCGGGATCGGGACCGGCCAAAACCGGGATCGGGATTTGTCTTTCGGGTTCGGGATCAGAAAAATCGAGATCGGGATTCAAAAAAACCGGGATAATCCCGCCCGATCCCGACCGGGATCCCGATCCCGCCCAACTCTAGTTTTTAATAAATAATCAGACTGGTTAATAACTACATAATTATTTTTAATTATGTACAAAATCATAACTTCTATGTAGAGATTGAATGCTTGTATGCATTCTAGTGTTTTGCCGGAACCGCAAATTTGGCCGGAATCGGAACTTTGTTAAAAAACTTGAATAAAAATTTTTACTGTAAAAACAAATTTTGGCGCTGGTGGGGTATGGTTCCAAAACATTCTGCATGTTCTGGACCTACGCCCACTGGGTTGGAAAATTTTCAATTCGGGTTTCGGGTGCAAAAAAAGGCCGGGTTTCGGGCGGCAATATAGATAGCTAATAATAAAAATATTTCCCTATAATTATTAAATTAATAATTTTCATAAAATTCCTTCCATTCCTTTCATTAAAATATTTTTTTCCTTCTTTTAGTTAGGAATATTCAGTGCTTTAATTCGTCGGTCTGCTCCATATTTAGAATTACTTTGTATTGAAAGAGGAATTAAAGTTTCAACACGTTTAGGCCGTTATTTCCATTATTTGACGCCTTCTCTTCAACATTTTTCTATGGAGGAACCGATTGATGTTTGGCATTTAAATCAAATTGAGGAGTTTTTAGCTCCTAATCTTTTATCGTTTGGTTTAGTTCTTAATAAAAAAGTAAATTTTCTAAAAATTCTTTTGTTTATTAGAAGACTTTAAAAATTAAAGTCGTTAAGAAAAACAAATTATTAGGGTGTAGACTAAGCTTTGGGCCCCTTAATCTAAGCGGATTAATAAAAATTCAACAAAATATTATCAAAATTCAAGTTAGTATGTTTTTTTTATGATCCTAGGAGAGTTGCCTATTTTCTGGCATAAAATCGGAAGCATTGGAATTTTTCGGGAGTTAGGAGTTAAGATACAAAAATTTGTATTTTTGAAGCTAGGCAACTTCCAAGTGATTTTCTCTCCTTAATTAACAAGTAAAAATGAAAATTGAAATATGTAGATTCTGATAGAGCACATTCAGGAGAATAATTCTTTTACTCCAAAAAAAATTTTTTTAATTAAATTTTCTTTTAAAAAAGCAGAAAAAAACTCTCGATGCATTTTTGTCACTAATTTTAAAATGTCAAAAACTTGAATGTCTCCGAATCAATCGTTTTGAGGAGATTTTTGAAAGATCTTTAGAAATTAATCAAAAACAGTTTTTACCCTCAACATTACAACAATTATTTATTTTTGATTATTCAGTTGAAAATTTACACGAAATTTCTAAAATTTGTCCAAAACTTGGATTTTTATTATTTTATAGTCAATATAATGATTATACTGACGAATTAACTGACACAAAAATTCTTAGGTACTTTAAAAAGTTCTTTTTGTTAATTAAATTACAGGGTGACCAGAAAGTTATTGCACACTTTTCATTCCATCATCACTTTCATACTAAAAGATAATGAGATCAAATAAAGATTATATGATAAAGATCATTTCGGATATATGTAGAGATCATTTCCAGATCATTTCGGAAGAAGTTTGTTGGGAATCCTTAACAAACGTATAAGAAAGAGGAGATTTAGAGGTCCAATATCTGTCATTTTGATGATTCGGATATGTCTCGTTCATAACAAATTTTCCTTCTAAATAAAAGTGTCACTTGACTTTCGAACTGCCTCAGAGGGTACTTGCATCTGGTTCCTAGTTGGTAAATAGTTGAATTTCTCTGAGATTATAGGGCACAAGTCCTAGTTCATTTTAAGCCTTAATCCGAATAGATTTTCCGGCCAAACAAGCTTCCATCGCGCTTTACATCACCAAAACGCATGGATGGGAGTATACTCGGAATCTGACCCTGTTCACGTTCTTGGGCGTGCCAACTGTTCGGTTTCTGCCACTTTTTTTAAATGAACACAGTTATGGCTACTAGCCTAAATACTTTTTAGAAAAAAATTTCCCAGAGACTTTCCTAACGGAATTTTTTTTAGTTTTTTGGTGCTTTTCTGAAGTTTGCGAGGAGATGAAATTTTGCAAACGCTGAATCTCTTGGAAAGAGTTAAATAATGGAACTGAGCTTATAGGCCCTGAAGGATAATTGTTTGGGCTTCAAAATGAGTATAAAAATATTTAAAAATGTAAATTTTGAAAAAAGTTATGATGGAATGAAAAGTGTAATACATATACCTAATTTTATTTTTTATTAGTTTATGTTCACCTTTCTTTTACACATTAAATAAAAATGATTTAAATTTTCATCCAAATTTATATTCTGTGCATTAACAGTTTGTGATTATTCTCCTCTTAATAATGTATATTTAAATTAAATTAAAAAATATAATTTAATTTACTTTCAAGTCAGATTTATTAAGAATAGCCTCTTCTTGTCCAAATTTGGAACATTTAGATTTTTGTTGGAAAAATTATGTTAATGATTTAGAGGGCCCAGTAGATGCTCGACAATTAGAAGCTCTTTATTCATTCAAAAAACTTTCTTCCCTTTCTATAGAAATTTATATTGTTTTGAGGGATTGTGTAAATGAATCCATGCCTTTTCACAGAGTTTTTGAATTCTTTTTGAATTAAAAATTAATTTTTTAAAGTTATTATGTGATAATGGAAATGCTAGATTTGATGATTTTATTTTTGAATTATTTATTAAATTAAATTCAATTACTCCTTTAAGGGTAAGAAATAATGTGAAGTTTTACTACCGTATAACCTGTAATAATTGCTCTCCCTCAAATAATTACCCCACTTCCATTAATTACCCCATCCAGCAATAGATTGAAACAATAATTACCCCAAAACAAAGCCCTAAAACACGTTCAAATTTCAAACCTCGTAAAAATACCCTCCCTCAATTAATTACTCACTCTAGCGGTTAATATTTATTTTAATTTTTAATTAAATTAAGCAAATACTTATGTTAAAAATAGTTTTTAGAGGGCTAACCCATAAAACTTAAAAGCTTTTGAAAGGGAATACCAAAAAGGGGAGAATTGATGGATTTGTTGTCCCATAGTTAGTTGTTCATAGATTTTTGATTATCCCAAACTTTTTCAGTTCTAGATATCCAAATAATTTTCCAAATTATTGAGAAGTTTTTAGGAAAGTAAAAAACCCCCACAATCACCCACAATTTTTTTTCAATTTTTAGAACTTGGAATTACGTAATCCACAATCATTTTGTTTGCATAGTGAATATGCGTTGAAACTTTTGAAGGATTTAAATGTAAAAAAATTTTATTTAAATTTTATTTTTAAATTATAAATTTAGGCTTTAGAAACATTTAAATGTACTTTAAGTAGTTATTTTCACGGAGGTGAATTTGTTGTTGAAGAAGAAAATAAATTCTTCCAAAAACTTGATAAAATATTAAAAGAAAATGAAAATAAATTAAAAGCTTCTTTCCGATTTTTGGTTTTTTTAGCTTTAAAAAAGTCTAAAAAATTTTTTTAAGTATCGATATCATGGAAGAGGACCTGATACTATTTTTAGATGGAGAAAAGGATATTTATTTGAAGTAATTAAAGTTGCTAAACCCGACCCTTTTAAAGATTTTATTTTTGGAAATTCTATTGTTTTGAAGGAAATAATGAATGAAACATTTGGAAAGAAAAAAACGTTTGTAAAAATTACAGAAATTATTTATTTAAAAAAGATTTTTTTAATTTAGGCAAATTCTTTTAAGAAATATGGGGAATGAAGTTAATGAAAGATGTAATTTAGAATTTATGTACTAAATTTTTATGTATGTGATTTTAAATTTTCAAAATTAATTTTTGATAAATACTTTTTACAAATTTAATTATTTCTAATTCCCGTAAATGATTTAATTAAAGCTCGGCTTTATTAGAACTCATCCCATGGAAGCCCATCCAAAAATATACACCAAATCTCCGTAGAGATTCTAATGGGATACAAGTAAAGATTGAAATATAAACTCCCATTTTCTAATAGAAGCCCTTTCAAAATGACCTGTTGAAAGATTAAATTAGGGTTCAAATTGGGGAAATTTAATCTTGAAAAATAGTAAAAAGCTGGAATTTTTTTAAAACAAAATTTTAAAATATAAAATAGTATATTTTTTAATTAAAAAATAATTTTTCTAAAAATAAAATACAAAATTGAGATCTTTTATTTAAAAATATGGCCAATTAAATAATTCTTAATTTCTAAAGGGAATATTTTCTAAAGTAATATTTCCATTCTTTTTTAATTCTTTAATTATATTTTTGTTGTGTTCGTGTAACTAAAAAATAAATAAATTAAATTAATTATTAAATTAAATAAATTACTAATAATCCCTGTGGAAGACAAGAATTTTCATATTTATTTTGTTTACACAATCCACAACTTTCTCGACAATTTTCTTGTAAAAATAACCTTTAAAACAAAAATTTTATTTATTTTTCAAAACAATAACAACAAACTTCGATTTCCCCAAACATTCCCCTCCTTCCTTCCATTGTTTACAACTAACATGTCTATCTACACATTCATTTGTTATATTAAAATTGGGCGTGCAAAGTTCACAAGCTGCTTTGCCTTTAAAAAATATTTTTCCTCTTAAACTATTACGGGCTATTTTAAATATCCGAAATTCAACTAAATCCTAATTTATAGAGAATTCCTATCTCACAAAAAATTAAAAAAAAATTTCCTTCCTTACAATATTTCTCCATATATTTTTTATTTGTTTTACATTCCCCATTCTCTGCCCAATGCTCACAACAAGGATTCATATTAAAACAATTAATAAAAAGTTTATGTGTTGTTGCTGCCATTTGACGTGTTAAAAATCTTCGAGTTTGTTGTGATTCTATTGGACGTCTTAAAAGTCTTCTTACAATTGGAGGGGGTGGAGGGGGAATGCGCCTCTGATTTCCTCTTCTTTGAATTCCTCTAGACATTGGTCTAAGCTGTAGAGGTGGTGGAGGTGTTGGCGGAGGGGTTGGGCGCCAGGGCTTTAAATTTAACGGAGTGTTGCTATTAAATAACAGTAAAATTCACTGGAGGTGTGGGGCCTTGTTGGCACCTTCCAAAAATACATTGACCGTTAAAACAAGCATCCATTCCATCAAAACCCTCACAAATACCACCAAACTTTATTTTGGCTACACAATGAGGAAATCCATGATTGAAATCGCAAAACAAATATCTAAATAAAAATTATTTTTTTCAAAATTATTTGGATTAATGAAAATGAAATTAAAAATAGGAATTCTTACAAGGCTTGAGTAAAAACAAGTTTAAAATCCTTTATTAACAAAATTTAATATAAGAATTATGCCTGTTTTAATTTTTATACCATAACATCGATAATTTCATAGTTAGTAAATGATGTAGTTCGGATAATTTAAAATCCCCTATACCCGTTAAGAGTCATGAATATCCTTTATTTACTTTAATAAGACTTGCCTAGATCCACAAGTAGGGACTTGTGCTGAACATGTTGGTCGTTGAGCATACTAATAATAAGTGTTTTTAATTATAAAAAATATCAGAAATTACTCTATATAATTGATCGGTATAAGCATTAGATAACCCTTAAATTTTAATTAAATTAAAAAAATATTTTTAAATAAAAACCATCTTGATTGGAAAGAAAATCAAAAGGCCTCATCCAAGCATAAGAAAAATGAAATTCATTTCCACATGACCACAAATCTATTTTTTAATTAAATTAATTTTTTTATAAAAAAAGAAAAGACTAACTGGGTGAGTAAGCCCATTCTCTCACATCTCTAAAAAAATTAAATTTAAAATATTATTTTATTTCTTAATAATTTAAAAATAAATATTTAATCTTTTTTTTTTGTGATTTGTGATAGAATAATTTAATTCTTTGTTAGTATTTTTTTAAATAAGGAAATCTCTGTCTAACTATTTTTTTATTTTCAATTTCTATTAAACAATAACAAAATTTTATTTCCCAAAAGGTTATCAGAAATATAATTAATTCATTATTTAAATTAAAATATAGGCAAGTCCCTTTATTATTAAAATATATTACGGACTTTCTTTGTTGTCGTTGACGCCAAATTTCAAAAATTAAATCAACAAAAGAATGATGCTAAAATAATTTTTATATATTTAAAATAAAAATAAATTAAAAAATATTTTACACCATGTAGAAGATTGGGTCATTTGCTGATGTTTCTGGCACCTTTTTAATTTATTTTTAACAAAATAATTTTAATTAAAAAATACCCTCATATCGCCGCCTACCCAAAAATGCTGAAAAATATTTAAAATAAATTTTCTTTGTTTAGAAATTAATTTAAAAAATTATTTTCAGCACTATATTTGAATGGGAGTATTCCAAAGCATTGAAGTTTACGGGTATTGGACATCCTGCGAGAGGGACTGTATATGAGAGGACCTTAATAAATAATTTAGAAATTAAAAAATATTGAATATTACATACATGTTCTATATTTGGTTCATTGGCCACAGAAGACAATTGACCTTTATTGAAAAAATAAAGGTGATAATTAAGGGGAAAATTGTATAGGTATAACAGACCTTCATTGAATAGCCCTCCCTCTCCAGAAAGTGTCCTTTTAAATAGAAAATATGGTGTAAAAAATAATTGGAATTTTGTGATTAAATGTATCTTATAGAGGTCTAAAAACGATAAAATTTCTTTTTATCTTACTAAAATTAAAATTAGTGACTGAAACAGAAATGTATACCATAAAGAGAGCCCCGGTATAATTCAATTCAGCTGGTCAAGCCGCATCGAACCATACCTGGGCCCCACAGATTCGACAATTTATAAAAAGTTATAGCTCGGCGGTATATTGGGCTTGCGGTACATCGGGGTGTGCCCTAAATATTTATTTGATTACCTCCAAATAGTATTCCTTCCCTCAATTGTATTCCAAAAAGCAAAAGGTCCATTAACCACAAATCCATTCATATCAATCTCCCCAGTAAATAAAGGAGAAAAAATAATTGAATCCCTTGGATCGGGTAAATAAACATCGAGAACTTTTTAAAATTAAATATTTTCTCCTTCAAAAAAATAATTTTACCAGAATCCCAATATGGAAGAGCTACTGTTGGGTCAATTAAACGTAAAGCAATTTCCATTCTTTTAATAAATTCTCTATGCCAAGGAAGAAAACCTGGGCCTGAATGAGCACCTCCTTGACTTACCTGTTTAATTTTTATTTTTTATATAATTTTATTAATTTACAGATTGATGTTCTCTAGCAAATCTCTCATATTCCCCGTTAAATTTTAGTTGATTAAATGCTGAGTGAAAACGTTCCCTTTCATCATCTGTCATCATTCTATACTGAAAATATTTCGAAAAATTTTTTATTAATTTTAATTTTGAGGTCTGAGCTAAAGAAACGAGTTGCTATAAATAAATTGAAAGAATTTAAGCTAAGGGAAATCCAACTAAAATATGATTGGGGGTATGTAAGTTTGAAATTTTTTAGATCTGGGTTCAGTCCTTCTTAAAAAGATAGATAACTTTTTTTGATATTATGATCTACCTCTTTTCTGTAAGCAATAGCTAAAGGCCTTCCATTACGTAAATAACAATAACCATCATCACGCATTGTTCCCTTTATTTAATTTAAAAATTATTTCAATTTAACTTTTATTTTCCAAAATTTACCCTAAAGAAAGGACACAAACATTGCAATGTCATACAATCATAAGGATTCCAGGCAACTTGTCCACGAGAATTACGAGAAACAGGCAAAGGTCTAAGCCATACAGGCGATCCAGGGACTGAAGGAGGGAAAATATCATCTACACGACGAGTTAATGCTTGACGGGCTTTTCGATCAATTTGGCGTAACTTTATGAAAAAATTAATGAAATAAAATTTAAAAAATAAAATAATTTGGTAGTAAACAGGAAGGAAATGCTTAATTTAATTCTTTAAATTTTTGTTCATTTTTATCAAAATAATGTTTATCTTTCAATAATTTATAAATTGAATATGTATGAATAACGTTAATTTTAGCTAGCAGCGTTAATTTGCTCATTATTTCGAAGAAAAGTTATAAATAATTAGGTATTATAATTTAATCATCAATTTAAAAGAAATTTTATCTAAGAAAATTCTCAGATTTATTTATGTGGAATCTCAGGATTTTATATTATTTATTAATTATTATTTAAAAGCAAACTTTAAGACAAGTTTGTTTAAGAACTTGTGTTGGTGCATCAGAACAATCTGTTCTAACTTGTCGAGTATGGTTACTTAATAAGGAGGAAGTAATTGAAGGTTTTTGTATTTGTTGTGCAAAAGTAGACAACAAAAAAATAAAAAATAAATAAAAATTTTGAAATATTCTTTTTCTTTTCATTTTCTAAAATTTTTAAATTAAAAAAATTATTTAAATTTTGTGTTAAAATATTTGTAGATATAATTTTAGAAAATAGGAGCTAAAGCTTTTCGGCTCGGGTCAGACTCATATCTCTGAGTTAATTAAAATATTGTTGAGATAACGAAGAAAAAAGGGATTCTAAATAGGGTTGCCGTTTCCGATTCGAGCTGACGTTCAGTGCATTTTTTCGAGCTTGGTTTTTTCCGATTCGGTTCGTTTTCGAGCTGGAAAGCCTCGGCTCGCTCGATCCTTCGAGTTTCGGTTCGAGCGAGCTGGTAACCCTAATTCTAAATGATTAAAATTAAAAAAATTATTTTTTGAAATTTCTTTTTCCAAAAATTTATTTTTATATAAAAATGAATGAAATAAAAAATAGCAATAAATAAATAAATTTTTAAATATTTACTAATTAAAATTTTATAGTATTAAAAGTAAAATAAATTAAAAAAATATTTATTTTTTTAATTAAAAAAATAATTTAAAAAATATTCTAATTTAACTAAATGAATATAGAAAAAGTTAAAATAAATAAATAAAATATTTTAATAAAAAAACAGTTTAAAATAACCTCGGGAAGACAAAGAAAAAAATTTAAAGTAAAATATTTGGGAGAATAAATATATTTTTAAATTTTTGAGAGTTTAAAGAAATAAATAAAATATATAAATTAATTTTGGAGAGGGCCAAATAACAAAAGAAACGAAAAAAAATTTTTTTGAAAAAAAAATCATTGAGGGAACGCGTAATAAAATTAACTAAAAAATGTTTTTTTCCTTCTTTTCGCTTTAAACATTAGGTCAATCATTTAAAAGAAAGCATTGAAAAAATGGCCGAGAAAAAGAAGGAAACGATCACCTGCTGACCTTAATTTTAAATATAAAACATTAATTTGGCCATAGAAAAAATTTTGGGTAGTTGGGGGGTTGTATAAAAAATAAAGACAATGGCTTTTTACAAAAAAAAGTTTCCCCTCTTCTCTTTTTCCAAGTTTATTTATTTCTGGTTCCGTGTATTCCGGTAGTTTTTATAAACAAACTTTTTTTCGTCGTCCTCAAGTATTTGTCGCGCATTCTTTGTGCTACTCGTCGTGTGAATTTCTCGCCTCTGGGCTTTTTTAAAATAAAAATAAAAAATTATTTTTAATTTAAACTTTTAATTGCTTCAATTTAGAAATTAAATTTATTTACAAAATACACATAATTAAATTTTTAAATATATTTCCATTTAAACAACCCGAAAAAGTCTCGCCGAACAAAAGCTTTTTTAAAAAATTCTTTAAATTTAAATAAAATAATTTTATGATCAAAAAAGGTTTTGAATTAAAAATATTTTTTAAAATAAAAATTAAACTAATTTGAAAATTAATTTTCTTCGGAAAAATGCCTTTCTTTAATTATTAATCATTTTTTAATATTTTTCATTTCAAGTTTAATTTTTCTTTACATAGTTGATTTAGATATTCAAATTATTTTAGTTTTTTCTAAATATTATAATTTAAACAATTTAATTTTGGCCACACTTTTCTTCCTATTTTTTTTCATATGTAATTGTTGCTTTTCTATATTTTTTTCAAAACAATTCTTTTTCATTGTAGACGTTCCATCATTCTCTTTTTAGAAAAAAAAACAGAAAAAAACATTTTTGTTAGCATCATTCTTTTCCGCGCAATAATTTTAACAAAAAATTCTTTCTGAATAATAAATTAGCTAAATTTATTTGATGACAACTACATACTAATTTAGTATATTTAAAGGACTACAAAGTATTTTTTATTAAAAATAATTTTTAAATATTTTTTTAATTTAAAAAAATATTTTTAAGAAAATAGGTATATGTATTTAATAAATTTTTATTTAATTTTGGTTTTACTCTTTATTTTAGGATTTGTTTGTTTTTTGTTTTGAGTGTTATCAAAATAATTTATTTTAATTAAAATTCTAATTATCTGTATGTTTATTTTACTTTAAAATTAAATATAGGTAGATTTAATTTTATTCTCGTTTATTTGCCATGGGTAATACGGTGTGTACGGTGTAAATGGGGTAATACGGAGTAAAATAAGGTATTTGGAAAATAAAAAATACTTTACAAAAATCTTTTATTTATTTATTAAAAATAATTAGTATTTAAATATAAATACAAGTCTAAAAAATAAATGAGAAAACAACAAAAAATAAATAGCCTGATTCTATAAAAATAATCGTGTATATTAAGTTGACAGATCGGTATCTCATATTTCTGGATATATGTTGGACATTCATATATAGAATATCCAATCTTTTTATATTTGCCAACCTCATAAATTCACTAAAAACCATAAATATCCTTAAAATTAAAATCAATTTCATCACCAGAATCAACAAAATCATCAGCGCCTTCCAAAAAGAGAAAATAATCCAGCTAAAGGATTATTATCCCCTCCTCCCCCTCCTCCACCTCCACCACCACTACTTCCACTTTCTATTCCAAATAATTTCCCCAAATCAAGAGGGGCAATCTTTAAATTTAAAAATTAATTTAATTTTAAAAATGAATTAAAAACCCTTTCACTTCCATAAGAATAAGAGCCTTTTTCTGCCATATCTTTCCAGAAATTTTCCATAAATTCTTCAGATTTTGACATTTTTATAATTAAAATCAATAGAAAAATAATTAAAATATTTTTTAACATTTTTATTTAAATTTTTTGTGACAATTTTTAATGATTTTGAAGAACATTTTATATAAACTATTTTGTACTCAAAAATTTTGACTTAAATGGTGGAACGGTTTTTAATTATTTAATGGTCTAAAAGAAAGATTATTTTTAAATTTTAAATTGTGATTTGACCAATCAAAGTTTCTTGTTTCATTAGTGGGTGATTGGGCGTAGAGTTAAAACTTCATCTATTAGAAAACAGGCAATGTAAACTTTTCTTTTTACAAGATCTGTCGAAATTTTTGCATTTTAATCAATCAAGTACATTTTCAGAAGGCCTCAAAAAAGTTGAGATCATGACGGAACAATATCATCATCAAGACTTAGACGAAGAAAACAACGTCGTGTATTGGACGTCCCTAATGTGTATAAATATATTGGCCCGAGCCTTGCTATAGCTGCGCCAAAATCTATTCAACAATCGCCTTCCCTTTACTCTTACAATAAATTTAATTTAATTAATTTTTAAATTTTTGTATTAATCAAATGATTTCGTTAAATTTTATTTTATGTTGCCGCATAGTATTAATGTTTTATTTTACATAGAAATTTTGCAAAAAACTAAAATTTAATTTTTTTATAATTTTGCACTCAAAAATAAAAGAAAATATTTTTTATCATCTTCCTCCTCCAAATAAAAATGCCAACGGATTATTGTCACTTCCTCCACCAGTTAATACACCCAAATCGAGAGGCATACTCTGTTTTAGTTAACAAAAATTATTTAGTTTTAATATTGAAAAAATAAAATTAGAAAAAAATAATATTTCCACTTTCAATTACGTGGGATATGTAGCCTTAAAACTTAAAAAGAAAAAAAAAGTAAAGTTATATTTGTATCCAAGTTTGTCCTCATAAAATTTAAATAATTAAACAACAAACTTTATCACTTCCATAAGAATAAGATCCTTTAGTTAAAAATTCTGTCCAAAAATCTCCGTCAGAATTAGCTAATTCAAATATAAAAATTAAAAATAATAATATTTTAAACATTTTGAAGAAATAAATTTAAGAATTTTTATTTAAAAAATAATTTTTATTTGAGGTAAACAACTTCCGAATTGTTAAATTTAATTTTTAATTGAAGTGGAGGAATGGAAGAATTTTATTTTTATATCAAACAATTTTTTACAATTTTTTAACTGACATATAAATTATTGTTTAATTAACTAATTAATCAAAAATTTTTTATATAAATTAATTATTAATTCAAAAAAATGTTCTAAAAGTGATCAAATAGGGATCAGATCTAAATAGAACAAAAACAGGTTTATTTTATATTGTGATTTATAATAATACAAACAAATATAGCCAAATTATTTATGTATTTCCAAAAAAATTCTAAGAAACATCACGTCATTTTTAATTAAGATATACTGCATATTAAACATTGTCTATTTAATTTATTAATTATTTTAAATGTCTAATTTGCACAATGAAGAAAAAAAATTGGTCACAAATTGATCTCTCATTGATTAAATAAAAGTTTAAATAAAAAGAAATAAAATTTATTTTAAGAAAATTTAAACTTTGGAATTAATGATTTTTTATTAAAAATGGAAAAATAAAAAGTTAAAAAAAGAATTAAAATTTAAATAAAAAATTAAATATTTAGAAATTCAATTTAAAAATAAAAGATAAGTTTTCTTTAGAATTTTGCATCTCAACATTTGTAAACATCAGTCCGGTCTACTGAAGATGCGGGTTCGCAACCAGACAACCGCTAATTAACCTTTTGCACTAGCTGAAGGAGAGAAATAGCTATAGCCCAGTGCTTTACTTTTATTAGAAAATATATGTAAATAATTAAAATTAAAATAATTTGAAAATAAATCTTTTAAATAAAAAAATAGAGAAAATAATAAAATATTTTTAATAAATTTTAAAAATTTTATTAGTAAACAAAAAAGAAAGAGAAAATCTTTACGGGAAGGATTAATCAGCAATAAAATGACGACTTAAAAATTGGCATATAAAATATTTACGTAAAAATGCTCTCAATTTCTTAAAGTTTTTTCCACCTTTATTTTTTTATCCATAAAAATAAATTTTTTGAGAGAATTTTCTTTTAAAAATGTTTTCATTTTTTTGGTTTTTAAATATTTTTATTTTTTATTTATTTGCTAATGCCTGCCATCCAACTTCCCACAATTTAATTCCAAAAACAACAACATTAAAGCCTTCAACAACAACAAAAAAGACAACAATAACAACCAAAACAACCCCAAAACATCACTCCTCCACCTCTTCCTCCACCTCTACCACAAAAACAACCTCCCCCCAACAAACAAAAACAACAATTAAAACAACCAAAAAACCAATTAATTGTTGTAAATTAATAAAAGAAATTAAATCAACAAAATTTTATAATGGCCATTTAAATTTGGAATATTATGGAAATAATAATAATTGTTTTGATAAAGTAAAAATTAATTGTTTGTAAGTATTTTTTTTAGATTAATTGTTATAAGTTAAATATTTAAAATGGAAGTTAATTGCATGGATATAATAAATAAATACTTTTTATTTATTTTTCCTTAAGATATCCCTCCAAAAAATTGATCTTAAATTGGTAGACCCAAGATGGCGCCGAAATGTTCATAGAAAGCCTAAATCTCTTAAATTGATAAGATAAATTAAATATTTAAAAGATAGATCTTCTCGTGTTCACAAAAGTTAGTTTTTCGCCAATAACTATTAAAATAGACTAGCTTTACTAACAAATCTTAAATAACTCGAAAGCTAAAGTTATATGATTTTTCTCTTAAATAATAAAATTTGTCAAAAAAAATCTATAGCTGTTATTTTTAAATTTCATTTTCTTGTATTTACAGGAGTAAAATGAGAGAATTTTTAAAAGAAAAAATACAGTTAGCTATACTGGATGCATCTGGCGAACATTTTTTGTCTATTACAAATAAGAAACAAATAAATTTAAAATTTAATTGTTCAAATAATAAATGGATATTTAAAGAAAAAGAATTAAAAGATAATGGAATTCAATGTATTTTAGCTAAAAGAGGAAATTGTTCTAATTTAAATAAATGCTTATTTTAATTTATTTATTTAATTTTTTTTTAATTTTTAACAATTAAAAGAGTAAAGAGAGGTAAAAGCTTAACCACGGGCAGGCTTTGATCCTGCGACATTGTGGCAGTTATTGCCAAGCTACTTGATTCAACGCGTACACAAATTGAAATAGGTATATTTGTTTTCACCATCCCTTTTAATACATATATCTTAAACTTCCACCAAGTAAGCATTTTAAATGCTAGCCAGATAAATCTCCCCTTCTTCATTGCACGATTAATTTAAGAATTTTCTTTTAAAATAGAAAACTTTGAGATTATTGTGAATTTTAATTTTGACAAGATGATTTACTTTTGAATATTTTAGATGAAAAACAGTTAGATAAATAAATTTATTTTTTCTTTCAATTTTTTTTCGAATCATTTATTGCAAATATGTAAATCTGACCATATTTTCACATAAATTAAAAATTAGAAGACAAAAAATATACCCATATTTAAAACATATCAGTACATAATTATTCATTGAAATTATTTTTTTTCTCCTTGACTAGAAATTATTTTTGCAACTTTTCTACACACCACGTTATATTAGCAGAAATAATTTCAATGAAAAATAGGCTAGGTAAATATAAAAATTTAAATCAAAAATTCTTGTAAATAATAAATATTATTTTATATTTAAATTGTTTATATTTAAAATAATTTATAAAAATTTAATTATCAAAAATAAATTTCAAAATAATTTAATGCAAAATATTATTATTGGAAAAGTGTAAAAATACAATAGAAACTGAATATGTCTGGAGCTATATTTTATGAATAATTGTACTTTTAAAAATGTAACTCTTTTTTATGCCTTTGTCGTTACATCGCATATTTTCTGAATTAATCATAAACCCCTTTTAATAATTCACTAAATATTTATATTAACGTCTTTTAAAATAAAAGTCCATTAAATCTATTATTATTCATTTTCCACTAAATAAAAAAAACTAATTTAAATATTAGTCTGTATTTTTATGTTCTACCCTTCAAAAATAAATTCAAAATTATCAACGAAACTTGCACCGACATACACAGCATGACTTTAAATATTTACTTTATACTTTGGCAATAATTATTTAGTAAATATTTATTACCTCTCTCTATATTTTAGATGTCGCTATAAAAGCACCAAATTATCTCTTTATCATTTACTGATAAGAAAATAGTGGGCAAATTAATTTAAAAATTGGGCCAATGAGAGGATGTTATTATTATTTTTTGGTTTGTTTGGACTAAAATAATAATTATTATTTGAATTATATGTAAATAAGCAAACAACTCAAATAAATATTTAAATTAACTGATATTTTTGTTTGTACCTAAAATAAATAATAATATTTTGATTAACCCAAAAAAGTACCAAAAATATAAACATTCCTTGTGTTTTTATCTTAAAAACAAACACAAATATGTATTTAAAGGCATGTGGTTGTCCATTAATCTTCATAATATTTAGAGTTCTTTACCGATCCTTCTGCCTCCCTTATAAGGACTTTGAGTTCTCTATAATTTTTTATTCATTTAATTATTTTAATTGACAGTGTCTGGCTATTTTTTCTTAAATTATTTTTTGATTGCTTCCTTGTTAATTTTTTCTCGATTGCTTTTCCGTCTGAAAGGCTGATGCAATAAGTACAATAATAAATTTATATCGGCCCATTAAAGACATGTGAATGCCATGAATTTATTTTTTGTTACTGCCAATGATAATTTTTGATAAAAATTGTCGGGCCAAGTACAAACATGCAAGAATTTTTTATTAGAATTTTATTACTCTTTATGTGTATAAATTAAAGTTAAGGTTTAAATGAAAATTATTGGCTCGTTATTTTTAATGAATATGTAGTTAATATATATTGTACTTTAAATATTTAAAAATAAAAAGAGTCCTATATAGTAATAGTATAATATTTATTTTAACAAAACCACGGATTAATTGCTCTCCTTGGGTGGCCTTTAATTATTAAAATAACAATTAATTCTTCTTTGGACTTGCATTTATTTTCCAATCTCCATACCTTTTAGTGTTTAACCAAAATTATCTCTCCGATTTTTTCGTTGATAAATGGACTGTCCGATTATATTACTTTGACCACAATCAAGAAATTATTTAAATTAGTTAAAGACAGTCAATCTAATTCATTCCTTACTCCTCACATTTTTCTTAAAATTTCTTACTTTCCTTAAAAATGGCCTCATCTTCCTCTCATTTTTCCTCTTCACAATTTTATAATATAAAATCTAATAATACCAAAGAAAAACAAAAAGTTAATATGCCACAACAATTAATTAATAATAATAACCAAAATAATATTAACGGAACTATTGTTTCGCCAAGAAATTATGTTTTGGAAGCTGTTCCCGATGAACAAACACTCGCGGAATTAAGCTGGTTTGTTTATTCAAATTTAGAAAAATTTTTGGGAGCAACGATAATGGGAACGAAAAAAATAGTTTTTTTTGGGGTTTTAAACAATCTTAAACCCGAGCTGTTTTGATTCATTTGATTGACTTTCATAATAAGGTTATTTGTCTTGAAATTGAGAGAAGAGGTGAGGCCTCTCAGAAGCTTCCAAATTTAACAATTCTATCTCACTAACGACCCAAAGAAAAGTTAATTAATTCAAACTTTTCAGTTATGCCATTGACTACTCCCACACTATTGGTAACTATTGTAACAATTCTTGTATTTTTAAAATATATAAAATTTAAAGGAAATGTGGCATTATGGAATGATCGAAAAGATTGTCATGACCTCTCCGTAATAAAATTCTTAACTATATCTTTTAATTTTAAATAAAGATAACACCACCAATTGCTTTAATGCCTTCTCCCTTTCCTGCTGAACTTTTTGAGAAGGCTAAAGCTGTTCAGGAAACATTGAGTGAATTATATTTCCGTATATCTTTGGATCATGATTTCCTCGTTGATGCTTATAGAGATGTTGTTAAAGCTGATAAAGTTGGGAAATTAATTAAAAATATTTAAGAAAAAAATATTTTTTAAGTGGATAGCTAAACAAATTGAATTAATGGAGATGGTTAAGAAAGATGGAATTCGACAGAATATTTCTGTGCAGCTCCAAAGAGCTGATTATATGTCCCATTGGGATGAACAACAACACAAAATGGAGTTGAAAAATGTTGGAGATTATTTTTTGAAAATTCAGAAAATTAATGGGATTGAGTTAGAGGATGGGGGCCTTATTGTAGACACACATATTTCTTATTAAATAGTTATCAAACTTATTTACATAATAGACAGAGAACCTAGGATCACAAATTTTTTGAATAAATATTTGACACCCCCTTTGAGTTATATTCAAGTCCTCTCAAGTAATCAGTAAAAAATATAGAATCATAGAATATTTTAAAATATATTTCTAATTAGGTTGAAGTAAATATTGGCCAAGTTGGAGGCCCAGGTTGTGCCACTTTAATGTCAAAGCTTCACAAAAGGATGTTAGAAAAGGTTGGGAATTTACGTTATGGACAACCTCTTTCCTCAACTGTTAATGGAAAATTGCCAGAAAATTGTCCAAGAAAGGGAATGGCTGAAGCAATATTACATGCTTGGAAATTATTTGGAGATAAAAATGTTTGAATGGGGGGAATTAAAAATGATTTTTAATTATTTTTTATAAAGGCTGTGATTGTGTTTATGAATCAACCTGAGCTATTCCCTGTTTGCCATTTTGAACAGCTACAATTTATTCAAGTTAGCGATCTTTTTTAATTAAATTTTTAAATTTTCTTTCTTAGTTCGAGCTAGAAGAATTAGCACGTAAAGAAGGAATTTATATAAATGTTGTTAGAATGTCAATTAAAGAAACAACACAAAGGTTGGGGGAAGAAAACAATTTTTATTTAAATATTTTAAAAATAAATTTAAAGGCTTTGCCTCAATGAAAGTGATTATATAATGTATGCTGATGGTAGAAAAGTAGCTTTGATTCATATGGCTTATGGATATTTGCCTGAACACTTTCCTAGTGTATGAAAATTGTTAATAATTATAAGGGTGGATACTTATAAAAGGAGAGGGAGGGGGGAATTGAAATATCTAGATTAGATTTAGAGGGGTAATTATTAGATGAAGTAAGAAGGTTGCCTTATCTAAGCACTCTAGTAATAAATAAAAGTCTCTCACAAATGGATATTATTAATAAAAATTATTTTATAGGAGAAAGAATGGAATATCCGTTACGACATGGAACGTTCAAAAACAATCCTTTCCCCAAATATTCGCCTTTCTCTGAGCGGAACAAAAAAGATTCAACAAGTTTTGGCTAAACCTGGCGTTATTGAACGTTTTTTGCCTGGCCAAACAGAAAAGATTGCTTTGTTGCGTTCTACTTTTACTGGATTATGGGGATTGGAGGAAGATAATGAAGAAATTAGAGCCGTTATTAAAGATGCTATTGAGGCTAATAAATTTTGTAGAAAATTTTTTTTATTAAAATTAATTTAAGTGCCCCAAAAAATATGTAATGAAAGCACAACTTGGTGCGGGGAAAGGAAATTATTTTGATGATCAAATGGCTAATATGTTGAGCCGTATGAGTGTGAAGGAACGTGGGGCATATATTTTACAACAAAAGATTTGGCCTGTTGTGGCTAAGGTGGTTGAAAATAATTTGAAAAATTTCTGAAAATTTTCAAAAAAATTTTTTCAGAATTACATGAAACGTCCATTTGAAAAGCCTACACTTGAAGATATAGTTAGTGAGGTAGGAATTTATGGTACTTTCATTGGCAATCAAGAAAATGGAGGCAAAGTTCTTTGGAATAGAGTGGAAGGTTATTTGGTTCGTAGTAAGGTAATTGACTTAAAAAAAAATTTTTTTTGAAAAATTACAAAAATATTTTTAATAATTAGGCTCATAATGTCAACCAGGGAGGTGTTAGTGAAGGTGGTGGTGTTGTGGATTCTTTGATTCTCTTTCCGGAAAATGAATTAAAATATTAAAAAAATATTTTGAAGAAAAAAAGAAAGATTAAAAAAAGATATCTTTTCAAATAAAAATTAAAATATTTTTGAATTTTTTGAATACATAAATATTCTCTTTGAAAATCAATAAATTTGTTAAAACTAATAAATTCTTTATTTATTCGAAAAAATCACTTGAGATAAGTTTTTTGCTACTTTTCTAGTGATTAAAAATAATGGCACTTATTTGTTAGTCTACTTTCATAAGAAGCATTCTGTAAGCTGCGCTCATCTGTCCGCTCAATTTTTCGAAAAACTTTTCTGTTAGGACGGTTCATCGCGAAAATTTTTAGCAGGCAGATTACTATAATATCACTACCATAAATCAAAATAGTGACTAGAATATTGTTAGCTCAAAATTTACTTCCTAACAAGCGAACAAAAACGAAAAAACTATGCGAAAAATACATTTACATACATACAAATAAAATATACATACAAACATTTTACTGGGATATAGTGGCTAGCAATATCTTCCATCATTCACATATTCATCTAATTTTCTTTTTCTTTGTCGCTGGCATCTTTGTTAGAATCCTTGTTTGAGTTGTCCTTGTCCGTAGTCTCCGTTTCCTTCTGTTCTTCGGTTGACAAATCAGTGCCACTTTTGGTCGCTTCCGCTGTTTCTTTACTCTCCTGAGTCTTCTTCGTTTTCTCCTCCTCCTCTTTTGGAGTTGGCACAGGTGTTGCTGGAGAATCCTTAGAAGTCTCTGGTTTCGAAGGCTCTGTCTTTGAAGTCGCAGACTTTGGGGTCTCCACTTTACTCGTTGCTTTTGATGACTCTTCTTTTGTAACCATCGTTTTTGCATCCGTTGGTGCCTTAGTAGGCTTCTCTTCCTTCGAAGCAGGTTCTGCAGGAGGAGCAGCTTCTTTCTGAGGCACCGGAGCCTTGGCAGTTTTCGGTGCAGATTTGACGAGAGACTTCGTCATACTCTGCATCGTATATGCGGTTTTTGCATTGTTGTCATCATTTGGAGTATTAGTTGAGGCCGAAAGTGTACAAACTGAAAAATTAAAGAAATATATCGTACTATTTAGAAAAACAACTCACCAACTGTTGAGTTATCAGTCTTCAGTATTGGGAAGATAGGGAACCCATCAGCAGATGTTGCGACTCCAGCATCTTTTTTGCTCGAAAGGTTGTCTTCTGCAAATTGAAAGAAAATAAAAACTGTTCAAAAGCTCGGTAATTGAAAACTCACTTTTCTTCGGCTTGCCTTTCTGAGATCCCTTCTTAGAATCATCTAAGGCTGTACGCGTACTTGACGATGGGCCCACTTGGGATTTACTATTAGCGTCCGTCTTTGCCTTTTTTCGGCAACAAGTAAATAAGCCCAGCAACGTTCCGCAGATCAAGAATGGCCAAAGCAATTGGAACGCCAGAAGTGCTGTAGTCGTCGTAGCGGCTGACACTAAAATAAAAGAAGGAAAAATTCTGAACAAAAGGATTAAGAAACTGAGAGAAACTTACTTTAATGAAGAAAGAAATATGTAGACGTGGACTAAGTTGAAGCAGGAGGACGTAGAGTTGTGTTGATAATTAAGCTCGAAATCAAGTTGCTTTTATAGTGATGCGTGAGGGAGTAATTTGGAGTTAGAAGTATCTACTGTCCATTTGTTATCAGCATTAATTGTTAATTTGTTTTAATAAATATTTAGTTTCTTCTTCAAGAACCTAGATTCGAACCGATTATACTTTTAAAGACCTCTCAAATTCAATCATTTAATATCTCCATAAACTTTTATTTCCAGATAAAATTATAGAAATGTTTATTTTCTACAACTAGTTTTGCACGTGCTGGACATGGGACAAAAATATTCCATCGAATATCTATTTAGTAATGAATCTAAATAAATTTCGAAATTCTAAGAAATATCTAAATAAATTTAGTTTGAAAGAAAGTAAAGGTAATTCGCATATTTTTAATGTTGGAATGAGGTTTTGCGTTAAAAATCTTTAAAAAATTTAATAATATACATACACTCTGTCCCAAAAATATACATCCACCTATATTTTGTGGTTTAAGTCCGTAAGTTGTTAACGGATTTGAATGAAATTTTAATACATAATGCAGAAAGGCATTTTGAAACTATATTTAAAATTTGAAAAAATTCTAATTATGCACTCAATACTTACAACCATTTATTTGTAAAATAGGTGTCCCATAAATATACATCCACCTTCCAAAAAAGTTATTTCCAACAATAGGAAAAATCTACAAAAATTCCAGTAAACTTATACATTGATATTATAAGAAAATAAAAAGAAAGTAGGTCCATATCTATAACCTAAGCCGAGATCCTGAGACCTCGAAAATCAACGTAAAACAGGGGTTTTCTACTTTAAAAAATATTTTCGGCCCCTTATGGTTGTTTTTAAATTCTCATTTTAGGCTCATTCGAAAGCCCTTAAAATTTACTATTAAACAAATTTGATCTAGTATTTGAGAAAAAATTTGGTAGACAGATGTAGGTCGGTAATTTCCCGACGCTAATTTTATGGGGCATTTAGACGCTTTTTTCTGTATCAAAAATTTAAATACCTGCTTCTCTCATTAAAAATTTTTCTGGAGGATAAGATTGATTCCGACTTGTAGCAAATTTCAAGGGCTTTCAAATGAGCCCAAAATCAAAATTTACAGTAATCCATAAGTGGTCGAAAATATTTTTTAAAGTAGAAAACCCCTGTTTTACGTTGATTTTCGAGGTCTCAGGATCTCGGCTTAGGTTATAGATATGGACCTACTTTCTTTTTATTTTCTTATAATATCAATGTATAAGTTTACTGGAATTTTTGTAGATTTTTCCTATTGTTGGAAATAACTTTTTTGGAAGGTGGATGTATATTTATGGGACACCTATTTTACAAATAAATGGTTGTAAGTATTGAGTGCATAATTAGAATTTTTTCAAATTTTAAATATAGTTTCAAAATGCCTTTCTGCATTATGTATTAAAATTTCATTCAAATCCGTTAACAACTTACGGACTTAAACCACAAAATATAGGTGGATGTATATTTTTGGGACAGAGTGTACATCTTTATCTAATTATTTTCTTTATTGGCTCCCCCTTAATTTCTTTAATGCTTATTTTTCTACAACTAATTTTGCACGTCTTGGACAAGGACAATACGCAGCATCTTCTCCAGGTTCTCCATTTTCTCCCGACTATTTTTATAAAAATATTAAAAATTTCTAAATATAACAAAACAACTTACATCTCCATTTGGTCCTTTCGGCCCTGGAATTCCAGCCAAACCAGGCTCTCCAACCTCTCCAGGCTCTCCCGCAGCCCCAGCCTCTCCATCAATGCCTGGATTGCCCAATTCTCCTGTTTCACCTTGTTCACCTGCAGGACCCTTCGGTCCTGGTGGTCCTTGACCTCCAGAAGTTGCCGGCAATCCTGTTTCTCCTTTAAAAAATAATTATATTTAATTTTATAAATTAAAAAAATTAATTAATAATTGAAATTAATAATTGGAGTAAAAATTAATAATTAGAGAATAAACTAAACATACACTAATTAGTTTTTATTTAATAACCTGGTATGCCTGTCTCTCCATCTTCTCCAACAGGTCCTATAAAATTTGAATTAACCAAATTTGACAAATATGTGTAAATTAATTGCCTGAATCTCCAGGTTCTCCTGGAGGACCAGGTGCACCACTTCTTGCTGGTAACCCTATAGGGCCTACAGGACCTCGTGGCCCTGGCATTCCTGGCCTTCCGGGTCTACCAATCTGTTAAAAACAAAAATAATCTAAATAATTATAAATAGAAAAACTTCTCCAGGAGGTCCAGCTGGACATTGAATACAAGGTTGAGCATATAATTGATCACCTAATGAGTCACCAGAAATTCCTGGAGGACCGGGAAGTCCGGGAATTCCATCAACTATATTTTAATTAAATTTTAGATTAAAATCTCTACATACACCCAGGTTCTCCATCCTTTCCTGGAGGTCCTTTAGGTCCAGAAGGACAATTATTTGGATAAATAGTTGAGCATTCTTCAATTTAATTAAAACAAGATTATTTTCTTTTTAATTTTACCGCATTGTGGAGCCAATCTCTCGCTTCTAGTGGATCTGGATGTGCGGAAAATACTTTCAAATTTGTTTTTAATTAATTGAGAATTTTGTTTTAATTCCTCATCTTTTTGATTAGATAATTCAACATTTATTTGTTTAAATTCTAATATTCCATTCCAAGCCTCGTCAGCCAAAGTCTTTAAAAAATGTTTTTAATTGAAGATTAGTTTTAATATAATAGAATGGTTGCAGGTTTTTGTGTTGAAAAGGGGTGGGTTCCGATTTCCGATATTCCCGGCTTTGTTGTGAGGAAAGAGGAGATCACATTTCTTTGTCCTAAAAAGGATCATTCCCAAAAATTAATTTGGGAATTAACTATAAATCACTATAAGCTTATTTTATTGTGAATTATATAAAATTGTAAATTTTAAAAAATAAAAAAAAACATTAAATCCATCCATTTCTCTTTCTAATTTATCAATCATTAAAATAGTATCATTAGTTATAAAATTCAAAGCAACAATACTTATAGACATCATTATTAAAGAAACAAAAATAGATAACCAAAATATAATACGAATTGAGTTATCTATTTCTTCAATTTTAGATTCATATTTTGTTGAGGAATTATTAAAGAAGGAAAACATTTATATTTAAATTTAAAATATTTATTTTAGGATTGAATATACATAAATTAAATTATTAAATAAATTAAAATAATGCTGAAAAAACCAAATTTGTTTTCTAACTGTAAAAATGATGTTATAACACAAGTAATTTTTGCCTTGATTGAAAACTGGGAATTAGTAAGTGAAGGAAAATTGTTTGGGGGTTAAATTTCCTGTTTGGATCTTCCATAAAGAAGAAAATAGTTTCTGGGCATTACAAAAATTATTTCGGGCTAACTTACTCTGATCCAAATATCAGTCTCAAAATTACAAAATTTT